CTGCAAATAACAACTTGTAGTAATTAAATTATTCACTTTTACTTCTTAATTAGTTATTTTAATAAACTCTTCTGAATCCACTCATGATATTTGCAGGATTTAGGGCCAAAGGCAGTGAATCTTTTCACCACGGCAGGAAGATCATGAATCGTCATGGTTTTTCCTGTATGATTATACATACAGGCTGTCTGTGTTCGATTAAGGTGGTTTTCAAAAGGACCATAAACTCCTACATCTAATGGTTGTAAATTGTGAGAGCAGTGCGGTGGAAATGACAGCATGATTATGTTGTTTATTTTGGCTTTCTCAACGACATGAAAATTTACATGCGAGTTGTGGTTATCCAAAAAGAGCAGAACAGGCTGTTCATCAGAAGGATTGACATGTTGAATGAAATAATCCATAAATTTTAAAAATTCTACTTCTGTCATCCACCCCGAAGAATTGCTCGCTCCAATCGCATCTACTGGTCCAGTACGAAGAAAAAGATCCGAGTATCTCATTCTGGGAAACACGAACATCGACGGAACTGCATTCCCAGCAGCATTTATGGCACATGCAAGAGTAATAAGTGTCCCTCTTTCGGCAGATGTGATCGCACCGACCTGTTTTTGACACCGGGCAGCAACTATTTTTTTAGGCTTCTGTACCGTCGTGACACCTGTTTCGTCAACGTTCCATATTCTTGAAGCAGTGAATTCATATTTTTGGAACAAGCCTTGCAGTTTGTCAAAAAAATCTTTAACGTTGGTTTTGTTGAACGATGTTGCTCTACTCAAAGATGTAGCTTCTGGTGTTCATAGAGATAGTTGAGGATTTCTATCCATAAACCTTTTAAACCAGTCCGGCCCAGCCATATTATTTTAAACGTCTCGCTTGCTTTACGAATGCTCGTTTTATTCTGCAGTACTTCTGCTGCAGCAGATTCATAAAGTTTTTTACTAGTTGTACCTCTTTCTGTTTTTCTTTTATAGTTTCTCATTCTGGAAAAAAACAAAGAATATGTACAATTTTTAAAATAAGAAAACGAACGGTACAATACCAGATATGGTAATATTTTTTGGGGTAAGTTGTTACATGTAACAACTTACCCCAAACAATTGTAACTACTTGCCCCATGGCACGTTTTTTAATATAAATTGAAGTCATTATTAATGGATATCGATAGTAGAATAAAACAATATTGTAAATTAAAGGTAGATATATTATGAACGTTCAAGATTAAAAATTTTGACAAAATAAAAAATATAGTCATCAGGAATCAAAAATTTCGTAAAGGATTTTTTTACTTACTTGGTTGAATTTGGGACACACGCACACAACACAGAAGCTCGGCGCTTGGCGGGTCACTGATTGTTTTTATCTAATGCACGATGTTATAAGAAAACAAATGAGTCCAATTATATCTATCAAAGAGTTTAGAAGCACGGTAAAAAACGCGTGTAACTTCTTACCCCTATAACAACGTGCCCCCCCGCTCCCCTAAGGAGTTTCACAACCCGCCAGCGAACAACAACATATAAATTGACCAATAAGCGTTTCACAATATAGTTAAGGACTGATCTGGAGGTTCCACCGCGGGCTTGGTCAACGCAGTTTGCTGCTTCGTCTTCATCTCGAGACACTGGAACTCCGACGCTTTTGAGTAATATTTTTATAAGCATTTGCATCGCATCACATCAATACTACGGGTAACACGCTCTTACATTATAACAGCGTAAATAAAATAGCAGCATAATGCTGCTAAGTTTCGTATGGTGAGTGTTAAAAACCGGAGTTTATACAGGTAACGAGGCATTTATCGTTATTCTCCGGGATGATAACACATCTTTATTTTGATACTTTATCGAAGACAGATTAGGTGTCTATGGGTCACAGCCCAAAGCATTCACTTACCATCAGGTGGGTTGTGTACTCCATAAAAATAAAGGATCGAAACCATAATAAATTTAAAGTTGAACTCAAAGCTTCTGTTATCTTATCAGCCCAGAACGTCTCACTGCTGGGCAAAGGCTTTCCCAACCTCTTTCCACCGTTCACGGTTCTGTGCTATGGAGGACCAGTCTTCCATAAAGGAACCCAGTTCATCTAGCCATCGTTTTCCGGGTCTACCTCAAGGTCGTCTGCAATTTTTTGGGAGCTCACCGAGTTAGTCCCATTTTAGTTTGGCAGATTTGGGTTCTGGAGCGCAGAGTGGTATTTCTGATGGGGTCTGTTAGTCCGACTCCTAATCATGCTGCTCCATTGCTCGCTGACACACCTCGAGATCAGACACCTGCTGTTTGGTGAGACCAGGTTCGGGCATCGTAAGTCAAGACGGGGAGAATGCACGTGTCCATGAGTTTGCGTTTAAGCAATATTGGTGCGTCGCCCTTCATAAGATGCTTTAAGCGGGCTACATACGACACGATATCGGTGGCGATCTAGGGTGGAAAGAAATCGGGGCTTTTATCGGGGTAGACCTTACACACGGGCCTGCCTAGCAGTACGCGTTCGGACTTGGAGCGGAATGCATATGCGGTAGAGGTCTTCAAAATACCTCCGACTCTCTTAAAACACCATCGTGTTGGTTTGGCATTAGCCATCTCGGTTAATTTATTCGAAAATAGAAAAAGAGAAGTTGCTGGGTGAAAAAATGGCTCCAAAAGAGATAAAAATTAAGCCACATAAACGTACTAAATGGCCTGTAATCCAAGGACGTGATTAATTTTCTCCGGATGGATGAAGACAGTTTTTATAACATTCTTGAAATGATTTCGCCACTTATATAAAAACGTCAATTTCTCCTACCTATGCTATTTAGTTATTTCTTCTCTTTGTTCATTTGTGCTTTGGTCAAAATCTGGTTATGTATTACACACAACAAACAAGGAAATAAAATACTTTTGTATAATAATATGTATACTTTTTTTTTAATGTAATCTTTATTTATGGAGTAAAACTATCAGAAAATAAAATAGCTTATATCTTTTTTTAATCATAAAGAATCCTTTAATTTTGGACATACTCGATATCAGACCCCTGCTGTTTGGTGAGACCAGGTTTGGGCATCGTAAGTCAAGACGGGGAGAATGCACATGTCCATGAGTTTGTGTTTAAGGGATATTGGTGCGTCGCCCTTCATTAGATGTTTTAAGGCCCAATAGCTCTTCCATGCGTTTTCAGTTCGTCGGGCGATCTCTTTTTCTTACCTCGTCTGGAAAGAGACAATTTGGCCCAAATAAACATACTCATGAACATATTCAACCTCCACGTCATCTATAATATGTAACCTGTGCTTGACATGGTTAACTTGGTCTTTTCCCTATTCATCAGAAGTAGAACCTCCAGGCTAGCTATTCGTTAAGGATTTCCCCCAGTTTGTTGGCCGAGGACGCGAAAGCCTGTTTGCAAAAATGTACATAATATTCGGTAACCTGTACTCCGTTACCCATAAAAGTCTGCTGCTGAACATAAAAGAGGACCCTATAGATTGCCTCATCGAGGTGATTGGGGCATGGTTGCCACGCTTGACAGCAGACTGGAAACCTGCTGCTTCTCATCTCCTGATTCTTTTCCATCCATCGCCTCTTACGACTTACTCCTGGACGACATGAGGTAGTGGATATTCTTAAACACGACAGTTTATTAAACTATATCTTACAGTCTACATATTATAGTCCACCGTTGACAACAATTTACAAATTACACAATTACAAGTTGTAAAAATTACAATTTGGTAATATAGACGTATTTACACGTAGTAGAGCCATGCTGCAGTTATATTAGTAGTATAGTTGTAGCACGAATGGGTCGGCTCGACCGGGGAAGGACCACGCTCTCAAAGAATACCAGCTTAAAGTAGTAGCTTAATGATGCTGTGTTTCGTATGGTGAGTGTAGAGCACCATAGGTCCTTTTTACTGGAGGCGAGGCCTTCCATCTTAATCCTCACGGCTGACGACGCATCTGCGTTTTAATTCGTAATCGAGGATAGATGTAGATGTGTATAGGCCGCAGCATCCACTTACCATCAAGTGGACTGTGTGCACGTTTGTCACCCTATCCTATAAAAAAAGATTGCCTCATAGAGGAGATATTGAACTTAGTTGTACAGTCCACTGCAGAAAATTTGCCATGGTTGCCACGCTTGGCAGGCGAGTTGCCAATCGCAGTTCTTATTTTTATTTTAGTCTTTATTAAGAAGACGCTGCTGCCTATCTCCTGATTATCATCTGTTGGCTATTTCGACACGCACGCGATGATATGTGGATATTCTTACACCGTCACTACAATTTCCCGCGTAATTCATTAAATTTTAAAGTTGTATAACAATCAAGCTGTATTTCACTTTTAACTGCATATTATGCCAAATCTTACACTCCTTTGAGCGCGTAATATACCTAAAAATCGGTACAAATTTATTCCTTTAATATTATAATAAATTTCAAAACATTTATGAGTTATCATTAAGTTGACAACCATAGGTATGTTATATCTAGGGTTGCCAGTAAAGATTTCTACGTATAGTACAAGATGATGGTTTGGTCATGTAGAAAGAATGAATGAAGAGAAAGAGTGACAAAGAACATTTATATGGCAGATGTGAACGGCGGAGTCGGGAAGGGATGCCCTAGATCTAGAAGAAAGTTTATCGACCAAATAGGCGACATTTTGAAAATGGGCCACGTCAAAAAAACCCTTAACCGACGAGCATGTATGCGTAGATATATGGATGTAAAGGAGGCAAAAGAAGTATGTCAAGATCTTGCCAAGTGGAAGTCCATAGTCTCTGAGTCATGATTGTGCAAATCATCTAGAGCTGTAACAGTTATATGTAGGCCATACAAATACCTGTTCCGTATGGAATTCGAACCTGCAGCCTTCAGCGCCGCAACGGGAAGCTAAGCTACTACAACTGCATGCCATATTTACCGCTGCAGCTTAGGTAGTAGCTGTGGCACAATTTTTGTTTTGAATTAACGGTCGTGTAGTTAGGAGTGTTTGGTTGTCGGGAGCTACCTTGTCCTTCGGGCGGCTTGTCGCTGGTGAAGCCCTGGTGGTTCGGCGGCGCCGGCTGCATGCGGCCCGAGCACGTCAGCACCGCCGCCAGGCAGGCGCACGCCGCCGCGGTTCGAGTCTCCCGCTTGCTGTGGCCCCTGCCCTCTGACCGCATGTCCGCCACCTCCACACCAACAACAATCAAATAAACAGTCATTTCATCAACACACAACATTAGCTAACGTAGAAATTCGTACAAATTACAATTTGGTAATTATTATTTACATGGTAGAACCATGCTGCTATAGTAATGTCTTCTAGACCGAATTTCAGTCACGGCAGCCTGTCTCAACCTGTCTCAACGGAGACTAGCCATGTGCACGGGACAGGATAATTGTGCACGAGTGTATGCGCAAGCACAGATGCACTCTCTATTCCCTCACTCTCATAGTCTGATCCGACACAACCGGATCAGACGCAGGACCAACGGTTCTATGCACTTTCCGAGGCACAAGACAATGCCAACTTGCTGACTCCGAGTCACTACTGCGAATTTCTTGACAGAAAAACTCAAAAAAAATTGGTTGTCTGTAAAGTTTGTTTACAAAACGTGACAACGTCCATAACAAAACATTGATGTAATGATTTCATACTGTGTGGAAGAGACATAGATGCGCAAGCCGAACGCTCAAGCCGATCGTGCCTTTCGCTCGCTCGTGCAGCGCTCTCGCTCCGATTGTAACGTTACAATGAGTCATTCTTTTTTGTGTATGCAGCCGGCGTTCATCGATTCATCAGACGTTGTCACGTCAATAACTGTTTTTGGCCCGAGTCGGGATTCGAACCCGTGACCTCATGATCAACAATCACGTTTACGACCACTAGACCGACGAGGTAGTGAAAAGGCTGCCGCTATATTATGATTGTAGTATGTTGCTGTTTCGTATGGTGATTCTAGAGAACCGAAACCCTTTTTACTAGAAACAAGACATTCTATCTTACTCCTCAGGGCTGGCAAGGTGGTGGAGGATACATGTATTTGACTAATTGACACAGAAACCACTTAGCACCAAGTGTACTGTGTGCTTGTTTGTCACCCTTATTTTTTTTAAACGTTTGAGATAGTATATTTCGAAGACGTATGAAATTAGCCATCACGCACTAAATCGTCATACTTAGGGGATTGACAATCGCAATACCAGACGTGGCCACCTTTAACGCTTTTTTTCACCTGGTGTAAACGAGATGGCTATACCGAAAACTATCAGTCCAACGTGTAATAAAACTCTACTCCACAACTCCTAGTTCTTAGTTAGCTAATATTCTTGATATTGTTACGAGCTTGAGGTTCGTGACAATAAAAATTGCCGATAGAATTACGTAAATTAACACTTTAATTTTCTTTATACCCATTAAAACTTAAAACACTAAAAATTAATCACACTAATTCACTTTACTACATGTTACTAAAGTGTTGCCATTCTAATAAAATAAATTTACCAATAAAAAGTCAATTGCCTAAATGTACTATATTAAATGATCTTTATTATTATTAAATTAACTAAAAGAAAACCTAACAAAAGCTACTCACAGTGACGACAACGATGAAGCTCGGACAGTGTTCTGGTCCGCTCTGCTCCACTACTGTAAAACGGACTCGAACGCCCCGTTCGTTCAGCGCCGACATTGGCGACTTGCCCTCAGATTCCACAGCGTCGGCTGCATTCGCGAGGGCCTGCAGATCCTTTGAAGTATATAGCTATAATGTATATTTTGATTGTTAAGCATATTTGAAAAGGTGGCTGTATGTTCCGAGTTCCTCTGCCTAATTTCCGTAATAAAGATACTACTGTTTGCGACTGGGAACAGCGTCCAAATTAATCAGTCCGGTTCACAGGTAATAACACGTCCTACGTGATTTGCTAAGCCGTGTATAGTCAATTAATGGAAAGATAATTAATATAAAGTAATTAAAGGATCGTTTAGTTCATCTAAAAATATAATATATTGGGTCAGTGAATCGAAACCAATATAGGCCCTTAAACGCAGATGGTTAGCGTTCGCTGTACATTTCACAGTACGCGAGCAAACAGAGTTCGATCCCCGCCGGCACCAATGAAATTGTTAATTGCAATTTTAAGGGCTGATATAGAAAAAAAGACCCATACAGATAGATATTTAAACGGTGATTCTCACCACCATCCTTCACAGTTAGCTACCGTGGGTAAATCTTTGTTTCAGAGAGCACGAGGGATCTGTGACAGTAAACACCTGGCTGCCGAGCTCCAACACGTCAAGCAAGTTTTGCATGACAAGCTTCGGGTCCCGCGCCTACGTCACAGAGAACGAGTGAAGTCGGCCACAGTCGAGCGTGTACCTGCTCTCGTACTCTAAAATTGACCAATCTCTAATATATCGCTAATTGGGTTGATAAACTGCCGCCTAATGCGTCCCTCACCGACTCTACCATTCACTTCTGCTACATTAATGTGCTTTGTCCCTCTTTCCTCATTCATTATTTCTACGTTTCCAAATCACCGAAGGATTCCTTTCATAATCCCGGTCCCCATCTTCTTGAAAGCCACACTTGTCTCCCATCACACGGTGTTGCAATGACCTGCCTGAGTGCATCGCCGCTCAATTTGATTGGGAGACGCGTCATTACACCACAAGCCCGCGCTCACTTTACTGAGGACTTAACTTAAGATAGGTACTTAATTTTAATTCTAAAAATTATTTCCACATATAATTACACAAGAACAAATAACTTCGTTACTATGTAGGTAAATATCACCCCTAAAATCTAGATATGTTGTATTAGGGCTCTAACACAACACTGTGAATCGATGAAATATTACAAGAATCTATAGCAAGAATACGGCATTGATTTTATTATGCATTATCACACCACATAGTTGTGTAAGAGCCCTTTAGACCATATTGCTAACACTGAATCCACTTGCGCCCTCCTTTCTGCCAAGGAGGGTCGCGTCCGTTTACGACTTAAAGATCTCTCGTCAGATCGTTAAGCCAATCCCACAAGGTGGTGTTTAGTGGGTAAAAGTCTCCACATAACCTCGCAGCCGGCTGTGTGGTATGCTATGAGAATTCACCACCTCCCCCCCCCCCGTTACCTGAGGTTGCCCTTATTTGCTTCGGGCGCAAAAAAATTTCAATAAATACAAAAAGTTTTAATAATAACATTTACTCACCAAGTCGGCCAATGCATCTGAAAAGAAGAAGAAAGTTCAAATAATTTTAAAATTTATTTATACTAACATAAATGCTACTTGTTAATCATATAAAATTTTATCAAACAAGATGAAATGTTACATATTTCGACCTGTTTTAGGAAATTCACAGCTTTATCGTCACGAGATGAATGTTTCACTCATTAAAGGTGAGATAAGAATAACTACAAGTTAACAAGCCCATAGTTGAAGCAGTAATTAACTAAATTAATAATACTCAAACAGGAACAGAAACTTTTTGATTCAACATAGATTATAAATAATACTTATTGAAAGTCACTCTCTCATTTAATTTACTACTGGTTCAGAAAGGAACCTCTGTCCTGGAAAGAACCAGCAAAACCCAGCAGGAGAATGAAGAAATTCATAAAAAATCTTTAACGAAAAGACAAAAATTCAACTTTCCCTCCATTTAGGCTACAGAGTGTGCTAGAAAAGTAAACATACATACAAACATACATACACTTGAAAAATATTTCCCTCCTACTATAGGAGTTGGGAAAAAATAAAGTTTTTTATAAACAAGTGGTAAAATTAAAAATTCTGTACAACAAATTTCAATATAAATAAAATGAGAACATCATCAATGTAATCGACGTCAATTAAATTACGCATTATTAAGGATAACTCAAAACCAGACCACATGAGAAGCACCAGCTTTAAAATAAAAAAAATTATCATCAAAGTCGGTTCACCTAGAAAAAAGTTCTGAGGTAACAAATAAAAATAAACAGTTGAATTGAGAACCTCCTCCTTTTTTGAAGTCGGTTGAAAACAAAGAACTTGGCTTGCCTCAAACATTTATTAATTACAGACTATCAAAAGTCCACTGCTGAAAATAAACTTCCCCTCAGAGGCAATCTAACGTCCCTTACCTTACTTCCATTAAGACCGATTTACACTTCGACAAGTACCTACGGTAGGGAGTTAACTTGCGAAGCTGGCGAGTTCAGTAGAAAATCTCGTTTGAACTGCAATAAGCGAGTTAAGTAGCAAGTTAACACTTAAGTTGAACGGGATAGTCGGCCGGGCTATTTTTCGGCGAGTTAAGTACGAAGTGTTACCCTCCCGCGCATCTCCCGCCACCCGCAACTAAACTCGCCGTTCGTTGTGAACGAGCGAGTTTAGTTCAGTGATTGAGTTAAAATGACGCAACGTTCGCGCGCCAAAACGTATTTGTAATTTTGTACTTTTATAATTAAACTCGCCACGTTTGTATGGTATTGTTTATTGCATATTTATAAGTTTTATATTGAGTTTTAAAAGTGAAATGCACGAAAGATATCACTTAAAATTTGAAAATTTGGAAAACGAAAAACCAAAGCATGAAAATATCATGAAGCAGGGTTGTAAATAATCATGTTTTTTTTTTAAATCGAATAAAGCACTATTTTTTTTAAACCCCAAATAGTCACAACTTTTTTATTTTTTCATTTTATTATTTTAATTTAACTATATTTATGCGCAAAACGGAACGCGCCCTAAAGGGATTGTGCGGACTCAGCGCTGGGATTTCCTCTCTGCTTTCATGTTTTATTACTTTGATAATTATTAACATTTTTTTATTTTAAATATTATTTTTAAATTTTATTTTTTATTTTAAAATTTGGCCAATAACAGCTATTCACATTTATTTAAATCAAATTATAATTGCTTTAGAGGCCAAAATAATGTGATTAATCAATTAAATAAAGCAGAACCACCTTTATAAGAACATAAACAAGATAATATTATCTAAAAATACATAATAACATAAAATTATTTATATAATGGTTTCTTATATTTACGCGAACACTACACATTGAAATAATACTAGTTTTTACGGAATTTATCGCATATATTTAACTTTTTAAATACCCGACGTTTCGAGAGCTTTACAGCACCCATGATCACAGGAAGGACTGAGATGTTCAACGTCCAGATGTCATAGTTAACCGCGGTTACCATAGATTAAAATTTAACTTTTGTTCCGATCTACACAGTATGAACTTATGGTATCATGAAGTCTTGCAGTTGTATGCTTGGCTTGGGATTTAATTTTATTTATTATAGGATCCCAAGCAGATGGTAGCACCCAGCTATCTTCTCTATTGAAATTAGGATGTTTTTTGATATCAATAGCCTCGCGAATCATCCTTGTAAGGAATCGGGGTTCTTTAGCGAGGATTTGTGGTCTATCAAATCTGATATAGTGACGGGGGCGATCCTGTACGTGTTCACAGACTGCAGACTTTCCGGAGCGTCGATTCTTCACATCAGCTATATAGGACAAACTAAAAGATCAATTAAAACCTGCGTTAAAGAACATATAGCAGTGCTGTAAAGCTCTCGAAACGTCGGGTATTTAAAAAGTTAAATATATGCGATAAATTCTGTAAAAACTAGTATTATTTCAATAAATTATTTATAGGCAGGAAATTTCAACAATTTATTCCTGTGTATTCCAGGAGATAAGATCCCTCTTCTGCCTAGGTTTCCATATTAGAGATGTTACATTGGTTTGATTCCGATTCCTAAAGTTCAGAATTTCCGATTGACTGCACTTTGGATTCCGATTTCAGTTTCGATAAATTTTAATCGGAAGTTATATCGGAGGTTGCTGCATAGCAGCAGTAGCGGCCGCTATCAGCGCATATGGACAAGTTTAAACTTGTCGCTTGGAGAACCTCACTGAAATAATTTGCTTTACAAGATCTTCCCTTTAATTTCGTGGAAGGTATTGCATTCAGACGACTTATGCAGTTCATAATTCCGAATTATTAACATTTAATTCGGAATTATGAACTGCATAAGTTGTAGGCATAGACAGTTTTTTACTGAATATATATGTGAAGAATAATGTGTGTAATTTTATTTTAATAGACGTACCCTTAACACATACCTATATCTTCTGCCTACACCTCCGATTTCAGTTCCGGTTGCGACAAACAAAATTTAAAAAATCTGCTTCAAATTAAGTTCTGATATAAGTAATTCCGTAACATCCCTAATTCATATTATATAACCTTGTTACCTATTGCAGTCACCAAATACCTTTTTTTTTATAGAATAGGGTGACAAACGTGCACACAGTCCACCTGATGGTAAGTGGATGCTGCGGCCATTACACATCTACGTCTATCCTCGATTACGAATTAAAATGCAGATGCATTGTCAACACTCACCCTATTTTACGCTGGTATTCTGCGAGAGTGTGGTCCTTTCCCGGTCGAGTCGACCCAGTCATGCTACAACTATACTAAACTAATATAACTGCAGCATGGCTCTCTACCACTTATATAATACCTTGCTAGCACTGCTGTGTTCCAGTATGAAGAGTATAAAGAGCCAGTACGATTACAGATTGGGAGGTATTCCATTTTAGTCCTTAGGGGTGACAACACATTTATAGCCATATTGTATGAAGCTGGCTAAATGTGTCTATGGAGTGCAGTAGCCGCTTACCATCAAGTGGACTGTGGGTTTGCTTGTCAGTTCGATTTCATTAAAAAAAACCAGATTCAACAAAACCTATTTCGCTAATTCTTTGGTTACTTGTGTTTTCAAAAACTAGATAGAAATTTGTTAGTATCCGTCCCGATTTATTAAATGTGTTATTTATACAAGCAAGAAAAAGCACGAGATTTGTCTTTAAGTACGTCAGTTAGTACCTAAACCAAATACAAACTCGATGAGTTCGACAATCACACATTTTGCAAAATATCACATTCGAAAAAGTGACACGGTCAATTTCATTTTAAAATCGCCAAAACAAAATTAATATTATACACAATGGTATATTGTATCGTAATAAAACTTAAACCTTAGAGTTAATATGAAAAACTGGACATATATAAAATGATAATGATAAACGTCACCGGATTCATACGGTCTGAAACTATATGTACGTAATTCATTCTACCTGGCTTCATTCTGGATAACATCACCAGGAGACATATTGTTAGTATGAAACTAAACTAGTTTTATTTTATTTGCTCCGCCTTACGTTTCCACTTTGTCGTATCACTTTTTCTTTTTCTTGATTTTTTTTGGATCACATTTTTCAATGTTTGATAACATTTCCTCCATTATAAAACGGTAAAAACTAATTAAATCCCCGCATAGATCTACACTGACTTGGACGCAACGCCATACGCGCCATACTCATAGTCAGTCTCTCTAGATCCTCTTAGTAGTCTGTGCTCTCTAGTACATAGTCAGTAATCTTTGGCCATACTGTTTTAAGCGTCACGTGATATGCATGCCGCGATGTGATTGGTTTTCGCAGTTTTAGCGGATTTTGAAACTCAACTGTGCAGTTTTAGCGGTGTTTGCAACAAACATTGATTTTTAAGGATATAGTGGGTTTTAATAACAAATGATTGCTAGATATGAAAAGGAATGCATTACAGTGTATTTTAAAAGTATTAACAATAATTTCATAAAGAATCGTTTTAGTGGGTTTTGAAAGTAAGCCCCTGAGTTAGTGTATGGTTCCGAAAATTTTGAAAGTAACGACACCTATCTACTCGACACATATGAAGAGCTGATAAGTGCAATTAACCCTTAAATATGTATATAAAATAGAATAAAATTTACTCTATTTTAGTTCCACCTTAGTACTTGTATTTTATTGTTTGCAACTTGTTTGTATTTCGTAATTAGTACAGCTTTTGTACTTGTATTTCATTGCAACTTTCTGTGTTAGCTAATTCTTACTACAATAAAGTGTTTACTTACTTATTTAGTATCCAAAAAGTATCCAAAACAGAATCAGAGCACCCCACTATCCACGTGGTCTTGTCGGCCCTGCCTCTAGAGTGTATATAAGAGCTCGGAGACGCGGAGAGATCATTATATTGTTTTCATTGATAATTTTTAATAAAATAATAATGTTAATCTTACCGTTCCGTGGGAAATTCGTTGAATTATGCTCCATTTTCGAAGAGGAACAATGTCAGACCCTGAATATTTCTGCCACTTTATTTGTACCTACCGACTTTTATAATGTTTCACAGACTACTAAGAGGATACTACGCATATAATGTTTATAAGCACTTCATATTTTTAGATTTAGCCATAGAGTAGAGTAATATATACAGAGATTTAGCCGTAGACAGAGAAAGCTATAGATAACGATTAGCGTGGCCTCGAATGAGAAAGGACGATAAAGAGGTGATGTTGCTACCTAAGCAATTTTACCCCAGTTTTATGCGCTTTGTGGGAAACTCAATGTTCAATCGACTGATATTTTTTTATTAATAAAAATCAACGTTTTTATGTTTGTCCTCAATGCGTTTCGAAATCATTAATCATATTTTGATGAAACTTTGATAAAGGACAAAATGGGGGCGCCCGTGAAGGTTCCTGACCCAAACAATCTAAAGCCACCTATATTTCTTTATACTTTATGTGGAATTGCAACGCATGCCTCGCACCTACAGGAAATTTTAAATAAAATATGGGTACAATCACGACAATTATTTTGTTATTTGTTATTAGTAGAGTACTTATTTCGTGGAAATTAGTGTGGTTGTATGCTTAAATAATGTTGCAGTTTAATTTTAGTTAGTAATACTTTGCATATGACTGTTTAATGTCCCAAATTAACTAAATTAAGTTTAATTGACCTAATTTAAGGATAATACTATCATTGTGGTCATCAACTTTACTTTTATATTTGACTAAATACCTAATTCAAACTATGAATATTAGGTATGTTAGACAGAGGCACGTTTTGTCGTTTTCCTAATGAACCAATTATGTATGTCACCGTAAGATTGTAAGCACCTTCAGTTCATAATAAATCTCGTTAGAATATATAGTTTTGATTGATTGTGAGCGGATAATAAAATTCACAATATAACGCAACTATTTTCGTTAGTTTGTTATAAACCCTTGTCTAGCCGTAACATTGTGAACGACGTGGACATGCGACTAATCAGACGGACACTGTTTAATCCTACGGTTTTTCTGCTGTGATTATGTCGTCCGTTATTATGTGAACTTTTGCTCCGATTGCTCGCGAATGAACGTGTTATTCAACCAATCAACTCACACTTCGCTTTCCGTGGCTCCAGTTTCACAATTTTACGGCTAAACGTCGGTAGATTATAAAGTAACGTAAAAAAAATGCGTTATACTATGAACTTTACTGTCCGTTCACAATTTATCGAGAGTTTACAATCTCTCGAGATTAATTATAAACTGACGGTGCTTACAATTTTACAGTAACATAGATAAGATAGGCGTGGTAGCTCAGATGGTTAGCGCTAGCTGTAAATTTCACAGTACGCGAGCAAACCGGGTTCGATCCCCGCCGGCACCAATGAAATTGTTAATTGCAATTTTAAGTGCTGACTTACCGCGCGCTTGGCTGTGAAGGAAAACATCGTGAGCAAACCTGTATGTCTGAGAAATAAAAAAATTTCGAAGACATGTGAAGTTCGCCAACACGCATTGTGGCAGCGCGGCGAACTATTCCTTGCCCTAAAAACCCTCTCAGAAATGAGAAGAGGCCTGTGCCCAGCAGTGGGACGTATATAGGCTGTTACTTTACTTTACTTTTTTATAGAAGACACAAGTAGTGTGTCTTCAGGAATAATTTTTAAAATTATTTTTAGGAAACAAGTGTCACCAAAACGTGAGTGAGGATAGAATTGATGATAGTGATTCATTCTAATATCACACAGAGATAAGAACATAAACAACATAGAAACAAACCTTCAATTGGTTTGAATTTTTATAATTACACACACTTTGTAACATAATTACAACACATTAAGCAGTGCCTTTGTACAAAATTTCTTTTTATTTTTCATTGTAAAATACTTCGTGTGTACATAAATTGTTAAATAAATAAAAAAAATAAATAAATAATTACAACACTTTCATTATTTTCAATGTAACATTTTTATGGCAACACGCGTGTTGCCAGTGATGATCTGAGGATCTGAGACGTGGTCCTTCACCGCTGGCCATATGAGGACGCTCAAGGTCGCTCAGCGAGCTATGGAGAGGGCTATGCTCGGAGTTTCACTGCGTGATAGACTCAGAAATGAGGATATCCGCAGTAAAACCAGAGTGACCAACATAGCCCAACGGATTAGTAAGCTGAAGTGGCAATGGGCCGGCCATATAGCTCGAAGAACCGGTAACCGATGGGGAAGAAAGGTTCTCGAGTGGCAGCCTCGTACCGGTAAGCGTAGTGTAGGGCGACCCCCCACTAGATGGAATGACGACCTGGTAAGACATGCAGGAAGTCGATGGATGCAGGTGGCTCAGGACCGTGCTTTGTGGCATTACTTGGGGGAGGCCTATGTTCAGCAGTGGACTTGTGAAGGGCTGTAATGATGATGATGATGATGATGATGATTTTTATGGCACACTTTTATTATTGCCCTTTAAATTGTATTAGTTTAGTATTGAAATTTCTTATTTTTTCTTTCGGTTCAAATTGTTTCGTCGCATGATGAATTCTAATTTCAAAGTATCGAGCCAAAATAGCCTTTATCAATAAAATTCTGTGGTTACCAATGAATGGTTGTCCATCAAAATGGTTTTTGGTGAAAAAGTGTTGACAATTTTTAAAAGCATAAGTTGTAAGTTTCAACATTAATTTTTTTCTGCAAAGAAAGCCTTTTCTTTATTGAAATACATCGTGAATGTTCTTTCTGCCATATTACAAATATTTACAACGTCTACAGATGGCTAAATAAGGCCGCCCTTATCTTTTTTCAAAATTAGGCCTGGATATTTTTCGCTAATGAGTGCAAGAAGGCAATCTTGGCACTTCAAAGATTGTGTTTTTTCTTGTTTGTGATTTCTAATTATAAATCCACCGATATATTATGTAATAATTTTTTGAGTATAAATTGATAAGCGGGAAGGGTCAGGTAAGTAGTCATGATCGCTAATAAATTTATCGTTAATGTTAAAATCTTCTAAATCTAAACTTTCTAATTCACTTGTACGTTCGGTATACGCATTTAGTTTTGTTTCATAACGTACTTCAGTGTCCGTTAAGATTGTAATTTCCCCCAAGGGAATATAATTTCCCGATGTTATACTTTTAACTTCCCCATGTACTACAAATTTTTTATAAGCACTTTGAATCTGAAATGCCCCCGTTAGAACGTATGTAACTAAAAAAATATTCCAAATGATCCTGGCTGAGCTTATAAAAGGGTAAGAATTTTAATTTTCCAGTTAATATGTAATCATTGTAAATTTCTTTTAGGCTTTTGATACAAATAAGAAGACCGAGAAAGCCAACTTTTCTATTAGTATGCAGTATATTTGTCCCTTCTAAATAGAGACCGTTGATATATTCTTCTATTTCCGTTAAATAATTAAGAATTGTTGCGCCATTTTTTTCACTGACGGGCTTTTTGTATCCATATGCGTCTAAATTACGGCTGTTCAAAATGTCAAACACATTATTTATTTTTCGTATAAAGTCTACAGTCGCGCTTGATCCCGAAAAACTAGGTAGTTTTAATTCCTTATTACAAAATTCTATTGCATCGGCAACAGAATTACTTAGTGTTTGCGCCGCAAGTCTAACTTTCATTATTTGTTTTTGAAAATAAACATGTTGCCGTTTAATGCGATTAGCTAGATGTAATCATTCGTCTTCTTGAATGTTATGCAGCTCCTCAATATAGCGCCAAGAAATAGTTTCGCCACATGCATTGCTAAGTTGTTTTTTCTGGCCCAAAGTATTTCTAACTAGCTTTAACATGTGTGTAGGATCTAGAATTGTTAATGTTTTCTGTTGATTTATTTCAAAATATGGTACAAGATTTCCGGCAGTATCAAACTTACATCCTAAAGTTTTCACCATTATACAATTGGCAGGACAACCATCGAATGTCAAAGATAATATATTAATGCCACACTCAAATAACATGCCAATGCACTGTTTCACCAAATTTGCCTTTTGATCGCCGTTACAGCCATCAATAAAAAAATACCCAACAGGTATTTTCCACCCATTATTAATACTGGTTACCATGAAAACTAAAGCTTCTTTAGCAACAGCAGCGCAATCGGAGTCTAAAGCATCCCCATAGTTTACTAGACCTACACACCTTTCACCATCCCAGTGTACATGCTTTCTAATTGCCATTTCGTCCATACTCAAAGCACAATGTAATTCTTTGTTTTTATTTTTTGCAAGTAATTGGATGCAATTAAATGCTTCCGTTGTAACGCCAGGGTTTGCATCAACACTTTTATACCACGTTGTAAGAGTAGACGTGTGAGGTAGGCATGTATTAAATTGCTCTCTTACATATCTATACGCTCGCGGACTTATGAAATGTAAACACAGTGCAAATTTTCGTAAAGTCGGAGAGTACTTTGTGCCACAAGCAGTGGGACATAAATATCTTTTTAAAAAATCTTTATTGACTGGGTCAATCGATTCTAACAAACCTCCATCTTCTTCACTGACGAGGGATTTCGCTTTTAGTTCCGCAATCACGTTCTCCAAGTTCGCTACTTTCTCGTCAAGCGCCTACTTCTTTCACGAAGCGCTCGAAGTTTTTTCAATCGATCCGCTGATTGTTTTACAGTGCGATTCTGCTTACTTTGTAATGCTGGAATTCTGTAGTCTTGTGATGTTCCCTTTAAAATTAAAACAATTTAGATTACCTTCGTGAACGTTAATTCTAATACATTATTATACTAAGTACTATATTTTAGATGAGATGATTAACATGTCCACTAAAAATATTGAGAGTTCTAGTTAGCGCCGAACCTGTACTATTCGAAAATATGGTAAGTCTCAATTTATTACACCCTAATAGTAAATCTTCTTTCATAGAAAATGTGTGAAAGTAAGGTTTCTATTTATTTTATTCAGGGTTTATATTATGGACGTCAGTAGAGCAAAAACCATAGTTTATACGTATAAATAAACTATTTAAAAAGGGTTTTAACGTCTCGCAATAGTATCACACACATAAAAGATACCAATTTATTATTATATATAGCCTAAAGATTTTTCGAAATCCTAAACCGAATCAAGAAATGTGAAAAAAAATGTTGTTTTGATATTCATGTTCAGATCATTGGTTCTGTTAATGTAATATTTAAAAAATAATTGTCTTAGAGATGTGCCAGTCGGAAAAAATCAATTCAAGTTAACTTAAGTTGAAATTCAGGTAACTCGATTTTGAACTCGAGTTACGCAATTCAATTTAGCTGAACGAAGCTGTGTCAATTTATCACATATTATTTTTCTAATTGTTCTTCCATCCAACATAATTATGATAACTTAATATATTTCTGGTTAGCGTATCGACAATCTTAATAAAATAATATCACTAACGTTATGACGTAAGTCTTATTGTTATTAATAATTTGACTATCAGAAAGTTTACTTAATGTAAATTGATGCAATTTGATATTACACAATAAACATATAACGTAATGTCAATTTATCATATTACATAATAAATCAATAAATTGCTTAAATTAGTAAGTCGATTTCATCACTAAATTGTAGACAAACTGCATTGGCCGTAAGATGCGACTTGAGTAGAATTTTGTGACTCGAGCCACTCGGGTTAATTTAAGTATGTATGTCATTCTAGTTGTACATAAGTTTTCGAGTAAATCGACTATTTACAGACCTTACATCGAGTAAAAGTTTATCACTAGAGTTGAACCATTTTAAAATGTGTATCTTTATTAAATAAGTAAAATACGGCAAATGAAATTAAAATATTGAATATATATATATATATATATGAGAATATTTATATATAATACAAATAAATAAATATTCTCATATCTTTCAAACCATTTCCTTCACAAATACTCCTTTTTATTTTTTCAAAATAAAGTCACACTGACGGTTTTTGTTTCGTTGTTTCATTGTTATTATACATATTTTAAACAAACAAGTATATGTTATTAATCGACTTTCTTGATATGCACTACTTACACGAAGTAACAAATACATAATCAGCAATGATAGTACAACCACGATATTATAAATCAAAGTAAGTTCACATTTGTTTACAACACGCCAGATGCAAGTTTGAATTTGGATGCAACCTGTGATGTCACCCGCGGCGACTTATACCACAAGTAAATTAGTGAAGTAATATCTATCTAGCTCCCTCCGAATCCATACGATGTGCCGAGTTGACTCGGTAACTCGGTAAAATTTATTTTCCCTTGATTATCGAGTTGAACGATTCACTCAAGTGAAATAAAACATTGTTCGTTCGAGTCGCATCATATTGGCTACGGGTTAAATATTTTACGATATTTTATGATGGTTGCATTTGATTTTTATTTACAAGCATTACAAGACCAATGTTTAAGCGAATATGGATATTATCAATTATAATGAAGGTTAAACATATATTAATTTACACATTACGTATGTATTTCTGTTTTTATTTTTTGTGTTGAAATTCGCAAATAAAATACAAATAACAAACAGGTCTTAGATAATTTGTTAAAAGTGACAAAGTATTTAGTTCATGTTATTATTAAAATCTAAATTATATAATAAATGGAATAAATACACAAAAGAAGGTATTATGTATAATGTTAAAAGAAAATTAGAATGTTTGGATCGAGGGGTAAGGAAGCTTCTCAATTTGATACAACTTCATCGGTTTTGAAGAGCAATTCATTTAACTGCATTTGTGTACAAACCTTATGTATTCTGAATGTTGGTTAATACTAAATAACTTATTTTTAAGCCAGACACGGATCCTGGATTTATACCAGCCATAGATAGGCAATATAAATGGTACATATATTTATCTGTAAAAATGTAGTAATTATTTGTACTAGAAGCAAATATAAAGTTCGAATAATAATACTTTGCATAAGAAAGTGCAATGTTTATATATGTTATACTTAGACAGATGTGTTGTTCACTCTGCAGAAAGGAATATAATTTTGTCATCTAGAATCAGATGTACTTAATATAACAATAATATCTTTTTCTCCTATGTACATGAAACCAGTGAAAATAAAATGTGAGGCAACTTTATATAATGCGAAATTTAAATAAATATCGTTGATATTAATCAACAATTACTTCTTCTGTATTTGATCAGCTGGAGCTGATTAATGCTGTATAACTTATAATAATTTCTTTTTTATTTAACATATGAACAGGCATGTAAGAAGATAAGAAAATGCTGACAGAAATATGTAAATATAGTTAATTGACATAGAAGGCATCGTCTTATCACATATCTCTTATTTTTAAAAATGTCCTTTTGATTCCTATATACTTAATATAGAAAAAATAATATATTGATAAAAATTATTATATGATATAATAATAATAGTAAATAGGCCTTGCAGGCTGAAAGCTTGCAGAGACAAAAAGTTTATGGATATTATCATATCTCTTATAATTAAAAATGCACTTTTGATTGCTTACAAAATCGTAAATGGGCATGTTACCATCCAGTTATTTTCAAAAAACTTTCAGGAATATATCTAACATGAAAATGTTTCTACCTATGTCCATTATAGACAAAACATAAGAAACCATCCAACCAATTTTAATGAAAATGTTTGTGTGTTTGAATGGATCCCTAGATGGTTTATATTTACATTTTGACACGGTAGATGGCACTGTTGTCGCGATCCATAAATCACCAGTGCAAAGCTGAGGCGCATCGCTAGTAATACATACATTTAAATTATGCCTGTGTTTTTGTAATCCTTACATAAACGGTTTAAAACATCTTACTTCCGTACTTCTGAACATAGGTCTATGTTCAGCAGTGGACTTGTGAAGGGCTGTAATGATGATGATGATGATGATGACTTCCTTACTATTTATCATTATGTAATAACATGGATAAACATGTTAATTTTATTATGATGTTACTCACTAATCAACTAAAACATAATAAAACAAAGTTTTGACACCGCTCCTGTCTATCTCAGTCAATCATAAAGTCTCAATCTATCAAGTTCAAAAACTTTATTAAACTAAGTTTGTATAAAAAGGGTTGCTATAATATAAAGGAATTTATGGATGATAATAAATAATGAGGGTAAGGTGATTGCTACCAAGCTATTTCTTATTTGTTCTGTGTTGTTAATTATAATGTACATGATTGTAAGCTGTTATTTTAAAAAAAGTCCCACTGGGTATTTTGCTGGTTCTCTTCAGGAAAGAGGTTTTTTCCGACCCAGTAGTAAATTAAAAAAGTGACCTTCAATATGTATTATTTATAATCTAAATTGAATAAAAGGTTTCTATTTCTGAACCCTAGTGTGTAATATTATAAATTAATATTATAAATATAAATAGACATATTATCCCTTAGCCATCTTGGTATTTGGAATTTACCCTCACAATCAATCAATACATGTCAAAAATAGAATCCATACGATATTTGTGCACAGACAGGCACTATGTTTTGCCGGAATTAGTGAAAGGTATTGCATCGATTTTAAAGTATCTATAAATGCTGAATATACCTACAGCTTCGTGTTATGTACCATTATTCAACTGTGCACTATTTTAGCTTATAATACAGATGAATATTTTTTTGAAAGCTTATTTACTAACTGAAATAAAATGTTAATTTATTGTGATATTGAGATTATTATCAAAATGAAAAGAAGAACATAAGGACATATAAGATTTTCTTCTTCTTGGCGTGTCGACTCTGGCTTATATAATATTTTAAATTGGCTATTCGTGTACACATGATTTTTAGTTTTTCTGTTACAATGCTGACTATATGTTAAAGGAACCATTTAAAAAATAAATTTAGACTTACTTTGGAAGTTGATGCTATAACATGGCAATCTATGTCCTTAAGAATATTAACAGGAGCTGCAGTCACTATAACTTCAGGTTCTTTAGCCTGTAAATAATGATAAAATTATATTTTTGGTCGTAGAAAAAAAATATTATAAGTTATAACTATTGTTTGCCTACAAATCAGACTAAATTAAATACGTACATCATCAATTTCTTGTTATATGACTGCAGAAATATACAAAGGTAGTAATTATGGTCTTCTGAGAATTTCAAGTTGAGAATGTCTCAAACGCAATGTAAAGCAAAATGTTCAAACAATAACATGCATTAGTGAGGTTGGAGACATTTTCAACTTGTGATTCTTCTAACTTCTAAGGTGATTCTTCTTGTATTTTAAAAACTGACTTATTGTCCCAAAATTTGTAATACAGTGTAACAAATTTTAAGAGTCTTTTGCAATGCCTATTGTAACATCCGATATAGTTTTTATTTATATCAACATTATTTTAGTTTTACTTCAATATCAAAATAAAACAAAGTTATAAATATTGTAATTAAACATATAAACTATCTATATTCATCAAATGCCTTGTATGATATTTTTATCTAAGAAAAACATTACTTTATCTACATTATTCTCATCAGTAAAACTCATGATAGGTATTTACCAAAAATGGGACGGCATTAGTGAGTAAAACAGTCATCTTATTCTTTCTAAGCAATAGATTTGGGTCAAAATGTTTGCTGCATATTTTTGAAGACGTTTTTGGTTTAAAATTTATACGGCCTGTGGCATCAATCCACCGCATGCGAATTGTTTCTTTCTTGGGAAATCTGTGAAAATTACCATTTCTAGTTAAATACTACACCCATAACGATTCTACTGCATTTTGGTATTATTTGCAAATGGGGAGATCATCGTCGAATACTGGAAACACCAATTCAACTTGGTTTTAGGTTATACAATAATCTATATGACTTTTAAACATATTTATATAAAATTTAAACGTATACTTATGTAGTTCTGTAACGAAATTAAAAATAACTATTGAATTGTATACGAAATAACAGATAAAATGTACTATACTTACGAGTGAAATGATATACCGGTAAATTTACGTTCACTAACACTTTTACATCCTACGACACTATATCTTACCATTTTTAAAGTTTTTAATTGTTCTAAGAACTGAACTGAACAAGATTCACCAATCGTAAGCTCACAAAACACTTTTTTCTCACTTAAACCCGCTTAAACCAACTAGTAAAGTCCTTAGGTCGCTACGCTGTCAAAGTTGTTTAGCAAAGAGTAGAGTTTGCTAAACAAAAAAAACAAACAAGGGACAAACAATCACACCGCTCTGTCTCATTTCTATACAAGACGTATGCATAAATCTATCTTTTTCGTGTGCGAAAGCGAAAGAAGGCGTCAATTTGTCTATAGGTTTCTCTGTCTACGGATTTAGCTCTCTATAATATATACACATTACACAGTAATCTATGGATTTAGCACATTTGTGTTAACATAACCTTTAAAAGCGTAGACAGAGTTAAAAGTATATATTCAGTAATCTATGCTTCATAGAGTAGAGTAATATTGTGTCCATATATCTGGGACACTATTTTCTACGGCGATCGTTCTCCTGTTCTCTAACCTTCATGATCGCAACAAAGAGCATAGTAATAATTGGGTCATTGTCAAAATTAAAAATATGACGTAGACTAGGTGTAGCGATGTTTGTATGTCTCTAGTATATACACAGTAATCATAGACATGTGTCAATCATTCATTTTTCGTGACCGAATCATTCTAGTACATTTCGTCACGCGTACCGGATCATTCAGATCAATCATTCAAATGGATAATTTCGGAATCCAGTACTCTGTTAGTCTGTGAGATCCATTGGGAACCAAAAAATTTCTTTCAATTCATTCAGATTATTCGGGATTCGGTCGGTTTTCAACTCATTCACAATTCAATTTTTGTGATTTGTTGTACCGGAATACTCAAAAACAAATGAATGAACCACCAATACTTTTAAGTGTATCAGCTCAAACGAACGAATCATTCATGATTCATGGTTGTAGTATTACAGACTACAGAATATAGATCATCTACACATATAGAACGTTTTCCTTGAAGTAATTGGGTTAAAGGTAAAGGAAAATATTGTAATTTTCAAAATATGAATAGTTTAAAAGTGAATTTGCAGTTGGATTCTATTTATTATTTTATTAATATGCGTATATTGTGTATAACAGTTTGAGAACTATTACTTTCATGACTCATTTAACTTATTTTAAGTTGTTCCAAATAGAATCTTAGAAAATGTCTTCACCACGCCCAAAATCTCCTAGAACACCTGTATTACCTAAAAAGGAGGATAAAGAAGAATCTTTTTGGGATAAAATTGGAACTATTGGCCGCAAGAAACGTATAAAGGAAGGTATGTAGTACATATTTTAAGTTTGTAAAACTTTTGTAGTGTAGGATGCCAATATCTTCATATTAAAACTGTTTAATTTTTCAATAGCACACATTGTTGTGATTCAATTGCTTTCAAACTCTTATTTAATTATTAAGAGCCATTATACATTAATTTTATGCAAAATGTAAACTGGGATCAACAAATAGGGGATATAGTGTACTACTTGACAGTAATTGGGTAAGGTTTACAATTCGGTCGCCTGAATTAGGGGGTGGTGTGTGGTGTGGGGGGGGGGTAAGAGTTGTAGAGTCACCCCCTACATCCCCTTCCTGCCGGACATGCTTAGTTTTTTTTAATAAATTTTTAAAAATATCATTTTGAGGTTATGTTTCGCAATTTTTATGACAATTTTAACCTGATTTATGGGGAGAGAGAGTTGGGGGACGGAAGCCCCACGCCACTTAACGTGGTGCAGTAGAGGGAAGCCCAGTCGACGGAGCCCCGTTTCGCGGGGCTGCTACTTCTGAGTGGTTTACAAAAAAATAACCACGAAGGGGATGGCTCATCCCCTTCTAAACCTTCTAACCTAACCTGTCCGAGTAGGGGTGCCCCATGTCCTAGGCTCGCTATTGTACCCAATATAACACCAAAATATTAACTTTTATAACTACTTTAATTTATAAACATAATTTATGGCTGCCACTATTTGTAAGAAAGGATCTTTGCGGTATTTAGCAGTATTCCGCTGCCACAAATATTCCACTATTCACCAAAATTATGAAACTCTGAAGCAACGGCATGACAAAAAGCTGTCAACAAAATGGCCGGCCTAGTGATTAATTTTACACATTTTTAAATCGATTCAAATCGCAATTCACAAAAAATCAATTTCGCAAAAATTGATCTTTTTTTGATTTGCGTTAAAAGTTTATATTTACAATATCAAAAGATGCAACAAAGTACAGATAACATTGAATGGTTGAATTAAAAACTGTCATTCTTTACGAGTTGGGGTACATTCAACTAATTTTAAATAATTTTACAAATCTTAATAAAACAGAAAAAGATTCGATCTCGATTCTCTAGGGTGAAATATCGATTCACTAGATCGTTTCAGTACTATATATCGATATGACATTGACAGATGAAACGTCAAAAACTTAATTAATTAGTCATTTACCAATATTTTTAAAAAATAATAAAAAATACTTTGACGCTGCTCCAGCAGCAAAATCGAGTGGGGGTGCCCTTGACCCCCCACAGTGACAGAATCTTCAAATTCAGGCGACTGAATTGTAGACCCAACCCCAGTAATTAACTAATAAATTGGTTATTACGTTGAAAATGTAATTTATTTAAAAAAAATTCTTTTTGTTAAAAAGACAATTATAAAGAAAATATTGTAAAATCTATATGTGTATATTTACAGTTCAAGATGTTCAAGCAGAAGGAAAATATGCAATTGATTCACCTGGAAGTCCAACAGCTCCAGAAATTCCACCTGAAGAATACAGTCTTCGTATGTTCATTCCACTTAACAAATTTTGTTTGTGTTACATCCTCTTAGGGTAGGCTTTAGTAATCTGCTGCACGATTTAAGTGATTATTAGCTTTAGTTGACAGGCAATGATGTTATTGATTATACCATATAGCTGCTTTTTATGCCGGAAATATTTATTTTTCGAGAAATCAATAGTTAAAGTTTTGAGGTTATATCAGGTTGGCTAGACAACCGGTACTTGATTTTGATAATGTTTTTAGTCTAGAAGGCTTGTTAGGGTTAAACTTAAACCTATTACACTGTTTTTAGATGTCGGAAATGCATTTTGACTTAATTACGATAAAAACTAATTTCACCAAAAATAGTGTAATATGTCGATTTGTTCTCGTATTATGAAGTAGATTTCCGAAACTTGATTTTTTAACTATGTTTTCAATTTAGGAGGGTTGTCAGGGTTAAGCTCGAACCATTTACACTGTTTTTGGATTTCAGAAATGCCTTTTGAATTAATTACGATAAAAATAAATTTCACTTTAATTTTACGTGGTAGAGCCATGCTGCAATTATATTAGTAGTATAGTTGTAGCACGAATGGGTCGGCTCAACCGGGGAAGGACCACGCTCTCACAGAATACCAGCGTGAAATAGTAGCTTAATGCTGCTGTATTTCGTATGGTGAGTGTAGAGAACCGGAGACCCTTTTTACTGAGAAATGAGGCATTGCATCTAAGTCTTCACGGGAGAAAACGCATCTGCATTTTGATTTGTAATAGATGATAGATGTAGATGTCTATGGGCCGCAGCAACCACTTACCATCAGGTGGACTGTGTGCTCGTTTGTCACCCTATCCTATAAAAAAAAAAAAAAAACATATAACGAAACGCAAATATAAACACACTCATAAAAAAGTTAATCACTCTGACCCAGACAATCCATTTGTGGCTGGAGATGGGACTTATATACAACAAATTAAGTTTCAGTGGAGAGCAGTCAAGAGGTTTTTCAGAAAACAAAATTATAACAATTCACATTACATTATTTCATTTACCACTCTAGTAGCAGAGTTAAGAGCAACTAGACTTTATAGATAAAATTGGTTGAATCGGTTCTAAAACCGAATTAGCACACCCCGACTCCACATAGTCTTGTCTGCCCTACCCCAAGAGGGTTTTTGTAAAGCTGTAGGTACGGAGGGAATGCAGCCCTCGCCCGCAGTAGCAAATTGCAGGCACCTAAGCGAGCATTGGTGCCTGTGATTTGCTACGCAAGGGGGAAGGAGCTGCACTTCCCGCAGTGCTGAAGCCGTTGCAGAAGTAACTGCGTCAATATTCCTGTATAAAAAGTGAGGTTATGATTTTACAAAAAAAAAGTGGGTTTGCGGCACTTCTCCCTTTTAGGGGGAGGTTCCTACCCCAGCTCCCCCACTCGGCGACCATATATTCATGCGGCAGATTACTAAGAAATTCAAAAAAAAGGGGGGGTTCCGGCACTTAATTCTTTTAGGGGGAGGTTCCTACCCCTCCCCCCATCTACCCGCCCACTCGGCGACCATAAATTCGTGCGGCAGATTACTAAAGAAATACCTCCTCTTATATTGTATTGCATATTGTATGTTGCATTTGCAGTCGTTATTGTTACCAGACATGACACTTACTTCAACCTTTTTACTTAAAGTTATATTAATATTTCGTGAAAACATTGAATAATTGTACAAATTTGGATTTTTGGTACATGATAATCCAAATAATTTCTGCATCTTACATAGGAGGTCAA